TGAGCCATTTATCCCTCTGTCCTTCAATTAACCCCACATGTGTTTATCAGCCAGGTGGGCACAATAAACTAACTACCTCACCAAGTGTTCAGAGGAGAACCTCTGTGGCAGCAGACCACCAGGACGTTCTCCAGGGCATGTCGGAGTGGCTTGGAACCACTAATTTTTTATTAGTATTGGAGTGCTTAACCATTTGCTTCTCCCCCTAGGAACAACTCTATCAATACAAATAATAAAGGTAAACTGCTCACTTTACACATTAACTGATACAACTATCCCACTGTGGAGCAGGGTGGATGTGCACTGTTAGATCCCATTTGGAAAAGGTAAAAATAGGACACAGGCAGTGGCCACTGGGAGGTAGAAGCTTTGATATTGGACAAAAACCTGTTCCCAGGATTTGCCTCCATTTAGTTCCTTGGAAGTATTGCCAGTTCATTGTGCCCTTGGTCCCTAGTGGTGCTCATGAAGTTCTCCCTTAGATATCGCCCTTTCATGGTCAGACTACACAGGGATAGTTCACTGAAGAGTTGAGCCGTTTACTAGCTGCCACCTTCTTCTAAAAGATTGGGACCCCAGGTGGTATAAGGCTCGAATAGTTACAGTCTCATGAGTTCTGTGGCACCACAGGACTCTCAAAAATGTAATGGTAATTTTAGCTATATGATCACAGGAGCAGCAGTTGTCAGTTGTCAAAGCTATTGCCAAGAGATATTTCTCTTTCATTTTAATTGTCTGCCTTCTTAGTCTACCAATTACCTGTGGAAGTACCACACCCACACACTCTAACCAAGAGCTTTTGGGTGCTGTAGTGATCTGCTCAGATATCTTAACAATGGGCACCTACCATCTTCTCATTTTAAAATGAAGATTTTCACTTTTTATTATGAATTGGGTGAAGGTTTATAGAAAAATACTTTCCGTTCAACAATTTATACACATTTTGTTTCATCTTATTGATGGCAATCCTCACAAGGCAACATTACTTATCCCACGTCCTCCCTGTGTTTTCCATTCCATACCTCCTTCTTTCCTAAATCTTCCTGGCTCCTGAGCTTTATCCTTGAACAAAGGGTGTCCTTTAGATCTCAAATGATTGATTATTCTAAGGAGTGCAAAACTCACTGTTTTTATTGCTAACCTAATTCCATTAACTCCAACATGCAGTGATCCTATGTACAACAGAATGATACACTGCGTGTGGCTGCCCCATCCTCACAATCAGTGTTCTACTTGAACCCCTTGTTCCAGCCACCATGTCAATCCATCTCATTGAAAGTCTTCCTCTTTTTTGCTGACATGTTCTTTACCAAGTCTGATAGTCAGGTTTTAAGTCAACTTGGGGGGGGGCCAAGATTCTCCCATGATATGATGTAACAGTGTGGTAAACCCAACGACAGCATCTTCTGGGAGGCAGATAAGAAGTTGTGAGAAAATAACTCAACCACTGCCTTCCAGTTGATGCTGACTCGTAGCGAACCTAATAGGACAGGCCCTATTGGTTTGCAGCCCAATGTGTAACCACTACATCGCTGGCACGCCTGTGTGGAAAACAGACCTTAATTTAGTCTCCAAAGCCCCTGGTGGTATAGAGCTTATGCATTGGCCTGTGATCTACAAGGTCGGCAGTTTGAAACCACCAGCAGCTTTGCCAGATCGATTTCCATAGTGGCTGTACATACTTACAGGTCCATCAGCAGTGGATGAGAGTTCCTGTCTCCC